ACTGCTTAAAGTTTTTTGTGCATTTTTTGTTTTCTTTAAGGTTTGGAGGCTGCTTAAGATGCGGCCGGACTAGAGCCTTAGATAAGTGTAGCTGTATGTTCGTGCTGAGGCTTCGGAATCTCCCTCCTTCATATATCACGGTATTGTGATTTCTGTGTGTATCTCCCTTTGTTTTCCCAAAGCTGTTTTGGCTTTGTTTATTCCATCAAATGCACGAGTTATGTTTGCTGTTCGGTTATTTTTGACTCCTTGTATTCTGCTAACATCCGTATACACCGTTGTCAAGGATAATGGGGGTCTGGGTTTCTTTTTGGAGTGTGTGTGTTCTGGGAATTTTATCGGTTTGTACTTGTATTACTTTGCTTTTCAAAGTTGTTTAAGAATTCAATTGCTGCCTGAGTTTTGCTGGCTAGTGACGTCTTTGATGGTCCTGTTTGGCCTTTTATTTGAGTAATATCACCAGAATATGTAGATCCCCAGCGCAGGACTGGCCAGTCCCCCAGCATAGAGTATTGGCTGTGTTGAAATATTTCCTAATTAACATATAAGATGATCTTTTTAATTATTGATAATAATATTAATATTTGAATAATTATAACTATTAATATAACCAATAGCCGTAATACACGTAGCAGGAATAACCAGGGAATTATTGCAATTATTAGTATTCCAATTATTATTGTCTTTGAGTGCGAGTGCGTATGCTTGAGGGACCAGTAGCTGGCCTGCTCGGCTCCCCGCCCCACCCTCACCAGCCACTAACTCCGCACTAACCACCATTCTGCCCCAATATCCAGCGGGGCCAAATCCAGCCCCAGGGTAATATCCTCCCGGCCACAGCCAAAAGTGGCCTCATCAACTTGCCTCTGGTGCCAGGCTCAGCCGCCATATTGCTCACTGGGCACCACTGTGTTTATTTTGCGCTGTGGGGGAGTCTTGTGGCACGCTGTGGGGGAGTGGTGTTGTGGTGCGCGCTGTGGGGGAGTGGTGTTGTGGTGCGCGCTGTGGGGAGTGGTGTTGTGGTGCGCGCTGTGGGGAGTGGTGTTGTGGTGCGCGCTGTGGGGAGTGGTGTTGTGGTGCGCGCTGTGGGGAGTGGTGTTGCGGTGCGCGCTGTGGGGGAGTGGTGTTGCGGTGCGCGCTGTGGGGAGTGGTGTTGCGGTGCGCGCTGTGGGGAGTGGTGTTGTGGTACGCGCTGTGGGGAGTGGTGTTGTGGTGCGCGCTGTGGGGAGTGGTGTTGTGGTGCGCGCTGTGGGGAGTGGTGTTGCGGTGCGCGCTGTGGGGAGTGGTGTTGCGGTGCGCGCTGTGGGGGAGTGGTGTTGCGGTGCGCGCTGTGGGGGAGTGGTGTTGTGGTGCGCTGTCATCCACCACACAGTAAACAAGAGCTGTCATCCACCACACAGTAAACAAGAGCTGTCATCCACCACACAGTAAACAAGAGCAGTCATCCACCACACAGTAAACAAGAGCAGTCATCCACCACACAGTAAACAAGAGCAGTCATCCACCACACAGTAAACAACAGAGCTGTCATCCACCACACAGTAAACAACAGAGCTGTCATCCACCACACAGTAAACAACAGAGCTGTCATCCACCACACAGTAAACAAGAGCTGTCATCCACCACACAGTAAACAACAGAACTGTCATCCACCACACAGTAAACAACAGAACTGTCATCCACCACACAGTAAACAAGAGCTGTCATCCACCACACAGTAAACAACAGAACTGTCATCCACCACACAGTAAACAAGAGCTGTCATCCACCACACAGTAAACAACAGAGCTGTCATCCACCACACAGTAAACAACAGAGCTGTCATCCACCACACAGTAAACAACAGAGCTGTCATCCACCACACAGTAAACAACAGAGCTGTCATCCACCACACAGTAAACAACAGAGCTGTCATCCACCACACAGTAAACAACAGAGCTGTCATCCACCACACAGTAAACAAGAGCTGTCATCCACCACACAGTAAACAACAGAGCTGTCATCCACCACACAGTAAACAACAGAGCTGTCATCCACCACACAGTAAACAACAGAGCTGTCATCCACCACACAGTAAACAACAGAGCTGTCATCCACCACACAGTAAACAACAGAGCTGTCATCCACCACACAGTAAACAACAGAACTGTCATCCACCACACAGTAAACAAGAGCTGTCATCCACCACACAGTAAACAAGAGCTGTCATCCACCACACAGTAAACAACAGAGCTGTCATCCACCACACAGTAAACAACAGAGCTGTCATCCACCACACAGTAAACAACAGAACTGTCATCCACCACACAGTAAACAAGAGCTGTCATCCACCACACAGTAAACAAGAGCTGTCATCCACCACACAGTAAACAAGAGCTGTCATCCACCACACAGTAAACAACAGAGCTGTCATCCACCACACAGTAAACAACAGAGCTGTCATCCACCACACAGTAAACAACAGAACTGTCATCCACCACACAGTAAACAAGAGCTGTCATCCACCACACAGTAAACAAGAGCTGTCATCCACCACACAGTAAACAACAGAGCTGTCATCCACCACACAGTAAACAAGAGCTGTCATCCACCACACAGTAAACAACAGAACTGTCATCCACCACACAGTAAACAAGAGCTGTCATCCACCACACAGTAAACAACAGAGCTGTCATCCACCACACAGTAAACAAGAGCTGTCATCCACCACACAGTAAACAACAGAGCTGTCATCCACCACACAGTAAACAACAGAGCTGTCATCCACCACACAGTAAACAACAGAGCTGTCATCCACCACACAGTAAACAACAGAGCTGTCATCCACCACACAGTAAACAACAGAGCTGTCATCCACCACACAGTAAACAACAGAGCTGTCATCCACCACACAGTAAACAACAGAGCTGTCATCCACCACACAGTAAACAACAGAGCTGTCATCCACCACACAGTAAACAACAGAGCTGTCATCCACCACACAGTAAACAACAGAGCTGTCATCCACCACACAGTAAACAACAAAAATATTGTTGTCTGGAGCCAGGCCAAACCCGGTTACTCGCTTAGTGAGTGTCCACCACTCTCAGGCATTCCACTTCAACGAATTATTTTTCTCTCTTTGCTGTTCCTTCTGCACCCCCTCCCCCTCTCTCCTACACCCCCTTCCTCTCTCCCTCTCTCTCTCTCTCTCTCTCTCTCTCTCTCTCTCTCTCTCTCTCTCTCTCTCTCTCGAAAAACTTGTCCTATCCTCGTCTCTGTCTTCAGTGTTGTAGTGGCAGTGGGTTTGCTATGTCCTTGACCGTCCGTGAGAGAGAGAGAGAGAGAGAAGATTAAGCCACCCAAAAGGTGGCTTGGGCATGAATAGCCCATAAGTGGTGGCCCTTTTGAGCCATTTCCAGTATCAATAGATGATACTGGAGATCTGTGGAGGTGCGACTGCACCCTGCGTGACGGGAGATGTCTCCCGTTACCGTCCGTATTTCTCTCGTCTTTATATATGGGAAGTTGTGTCATAGCGGTGAGGAACACAGGCGACGATGGTGGTGACGAGATGCCGGAGCTGTGTGAGGAGGGCTGGAGAGTCCAGCGTCCTGGACAGTTCATTAAGTCCACCCTCCGAAAGCACACTGGGACGTGTGCTTTCATTATATAAGTCATATATGGTCGGCTAAAAGTTATATATGGTTAGAAGTTATGAGTCAATTTAACAAAATAGTTGGTTATAGACTTGGCTATTTATTCGAAGCAAGTGCTTGCTATACAAGGTTATATAAGACACGCGTATGGAGTTATTCTCTTAGGGCGTCGGCCCGTTGGTAGAGCGACGGCTTCGCTTCTTGCGGGGTTGGTTTTCAATTCCTGGAAATCCATCACTCCTTCCTAATACCTGCCCCACCGCTTGGGGTGGACGGTAGAGCGACGGTCTCGCTTCATGCAAGTCGACGTTCAATCCCCCCAACCGTCCAAAAGTGGTTGGGCACCATTCCTTTTCTCCGACCCATTCCAAATCCTTATCCTGACCCCTTCCCAGTGCTATATAGTCGTAATAGATTAGCGCCTTTCACTGATAGTTCCATTCCTTCCTAATACCCTGGTACTTAGTCTGTATATCCATTCCGAGCACTGTATATTCCTGCTGCCATAACACTTTCTCCTGATAGCAACTTTACCTGCATACTGCGCCCCCCTTGGACCACTTTGTGTTAGAGGGGGCAGGTCTAGGTGTTGGTGCAACCTGCCGGGGACCCAGTGTGGGCGGTGAAGCATCTTCTCTAGTCACAGATATGCGACAGACTAAGTGTTTTATTCTAATATATATATTTATGTTAAATATAATACGTGTATATGCTTTATAGATAAGCCTCGTGTTCCGTTTGTTAGACAACGGAGCATTTCCCTTTCTGTTGACTCTCTTGTTAGGAAGTCGATCCGTAATTCTGACCATAATCTAAGAGCTAGGTGAATATATGTCAATCAGGCACTAAGAACCTCTTTATTTTGGTACGGTAATAATTAATTAGTCAATCACTCAGTCTCTACATAACCAGAGATAAATCCGACCGTTCGTTTAGACTATAATTACAGCAGTATTTGCAGCTTTGAATTACAGTAGCAGCGGCCGCTTTTGTAGTTAAATTAACTCCTCATCAAAAGGTCGGGACCTTTGTAACCCAACTCGGGCACTCAGACACGTGACCTCACTTGACACAGGGAGGCAAGCCAAGACACATCAACAAAGCCTCTACATCCGAAACGTTATGCGTACTAGTGACTTCAGGTATTGTATGTACTATATCTTTAAATCCAACATTATGTATGTACCTTTACCTGAAAAAAAATCTAATCTAATCTAATCTAATTATATTTTGCCAGCCACCACAGCTCGGACAATCCAAGGCAGATACGTTAAGTTTGATCTCCAGTGATCTTTACTCATTTAAGAGAGAGGCTGCGACGCGCGTATTACTTAGTCTTCCTCCGTTGATATTGTTTATCAGGAGAGCGCGCTAAGCCAGTAGGACTATGGAGTGGATATAAGGATAAGGAACTTGGATAGAACGGAGGAGAGGGACGATATCCAACCATTTTGACCATTGGGGGATCGAACGCCGACCTGTATGAAGGGAGCTCATCGCTGTACCAACCAGTTAAGTGACTGAACTTTTAATCTGTAATATTAACAACTTCCGGTCGTAGGCTCAAGATTTTGTTGACGAGTTCCTTTCGCCATGACAGAGGAGAGCTTCAAGAGGCTCTATCAAGTGTAAGGTAAAGGAGGCTCTAGCACAATTATTGCCCCCATACGAGGCAGCTCCTATTTATATAGGTTATCTTGAGGTTATCTTGAGATGATTTCGGGGCTTTTTAGTGTCCCCGCGGCCCGGTCCTCGACCAGGCCTCCACCCCCAGGAAGCAGCCCGTGACAGCTGACTAACACCCAGGTACCTATTTTACTCCCGGAGGTCAGAGTCGGATCCGTGAAATAAGAGCACGCATTATCCATGTCTGCTGGAAAGTTAGAAGTGTGTGTGTGCACGTGCGTGCGTGTGTGTGCACGTGCGTGCGTGTGTGTGTGTGAGTTTGCGCGTGTGTACTTGCCTATTTGTACTTGCGGGGGTTGAGTTTTGGCTCTTTGGTCCCGCCTCTCAACTGTCAATCAACTGGTGTACAGGTTCCTGAGCCTACTGGGCTCTATCATATCTACATTTGAAACTGTGTATGGAGTCAGCCTCCACCACATCACTGCCTAATGCATTCCATCTGTTAACTACTCTGACACTGAAAAAGTTCTTTCTAACGTCTCTGTGGCTCATGTGGGTACTCAGTTTCCACCTGTGTCCCCTTGTTCGCGAACCAACCGTGTTAAACAGTTTATCCTTATCTACCCTGTCGATTCCAATGAGAATTTTGTAGGTAATGATCATGTCTCCCCTTACTCTTCTGTCTTCCAGCGTGGTGAGGTGCATTTCCAGCAGCCTTTCCTCGTAACTCACGCCTCTTAGTTCTGGGACTAGTCTAGTGGCATACCTCTGAACTTTTTTCAGCTTCGTCTTGTGCTTGACAAGGTACGGGCTCCATGCTGGGGCCGCATACTCCAGGATTGGTCTTACATATGTGGTGTACAAGGTTCTGAATGATTCCTTACACAGGTTCCTGAAGGCTGTTCTGATGTTAGCCAGCCTCGCGTATGCCGCAGATGTAATTCTTTTTATGTGGGGCTTCAGGAGACAAGTTTGGTGTGATATCAATGTAACACGGGTTTGGGTTCCTCTCTTTTTACTTCCTTCTTTCTACTCCCTCTACCCGTATTCTTACTTATTATTCTCTACCAAGGGACTCCAAAACTTTTACCAAAGCCAACTCCACGCCACGTGGTCCTAAGACGATTGACCGACTTAGGATTCTACACCCAGTATGACGTGACCTAAGCTCTGAACAAAACCCTAGAGTCACCTCTGCTGCCACCACCAGACCAGTAATACAAGAGCAATGATCGAGGTCTGGATCGATCACGCTAATTAATCAACCTAGGGGCTTGATCCCCACTATAAACGATGACCTTGAGTGTGGAATAAATTACACGGTAATGATAATTCCGATTCGATGTTAGAATCGGCGCCCAATGCAACTCTGCCTCGTGTGGACCACGTGACCAGGACAAGTATACACATAAAACACATGGAAACAATAAAATGCAAATTAATAACAAATTTAATTTATTAAAAGAAAACTAAAACAAAATCTAAATAGGTTCACTCCCTATCACTTTAACACTCCCTACTTGACCTGAGTGGCAAATGAGAAGACTATTTCTATAATTAACAATAGCAACTATACCTTGGGCGACCAGCTCTAGGTGTTGGGGCTGGTCTTGGGGAGAGGTAAGATGTTGACCTCTTATCCCAGCTGCTTCCGTGACCACACTGATTTTTTCCTTGTCTGGACTACCCCAGACAGAGTATTGTATCCTTCCGCATCGCTTACCCAGTTACTTTAGCAAGGTTAAGTTATAACAATTAAACTCTGTTGTACTTAATTGATCCAGACTGGTTGAATTATTTTACTGAATTAAATTACAAACATCTAACGGCAGAGCTGTTCCCGATCACAAAAATGGTTATTAAAACTTTGAGAAATAGTAGACCTGTCAACCCCTGATGACCTATGACCGCCGGTCACTCCGCCTCAAAAGTTAGATCTGATTCGTGACGTCACTGATGGTGACTTAAACTCAATAATTAGAATACTCTTGATATTGTATCCAGTACTATTATACAATACAATTTTAATGCAAAATGAATAAAGGCTAATTTTCTCTAAATTACTGAATACTATAGGATGGTTCATTATACGCAGCTATGAACAAAGCGTCGGTTATTTCCACCGCGAATTCCCCTGGGGGTCAGGTCACCATGCGGCTCAGCTTCCCATTCTCTTTTGTCGATAAACCACTCTGGATAATTCTTACAACAGCCTAGTCTGTTACAACCCCCCCGCACAAGCACTTAGTAAACCTTGTTAATTTGTTAAAATTCACGAGGTTTAGTATCCAAACCCACAATTCAACTCATGCCACAAACAAAAGCTAACCTAACTAATAAAATTTGACAAATAATAGTCCAACATCATAATGAACATGTTCATATTTCATAAATTTCTCAGCTGTCAACTGACAGCAATCCTCCAATATCAGGAAACATACATCCTACCCTTACTGACATAGCTAAATAACATGTCCCTACTCTACCATCAAAAACTAGCTATTAAACTCTCTTGGCTCTTCACTAGCCAAGTCCATGTGTCCTCTAGAGCCGGCCACACCGTGCTCAAACAACATTAAAGTTATATCATCAGACTGAACTTTCAGTCATCCGGGAGCGTACTACGGAACTATCAGGTACACATCCGTGTACCACCCACTCCCCATCAATGTCAACCTTGACATGCTAAGGAACACACCTAATGTTTATTACAGGTATCTAAAAATATAAAAAAAAAATCCTATACTATATCACAGGTTTCAGCTGACTGTACAGCCAAGTGTTCTCACTCACTAGAAGTGTCAATGTTTATATTGGTCCGCCTCTCCTGTGTTCAAACATTCTGAAAAAAAAATAGCACAACATAATTTTCCATAACCGTTTGTTCTGGGCTGAGACAATTACACAGGGGCTTCGATTTTGATTACTGACCAATTTATAGAGTAAAATTTTCATATATTATACCAATTATTATTTTAAATCTGTTTTTCAACATTTATAAAGTATTGATTCTAAATCTGTTTTTCAACATTTAAACAAAAGTGTCCAGATGTTCTTTACACAGATGTTCAGAGCCAACTTTGTTGTTTGTATCAATTGTTCATATTGAGTAATCGAAAAAAAAAAAATCGATGCTGCTGGATGCGGGGGGAGCCAAGAGAGTTTAATAGCTAGTTTTTGATGGTAGAGTAGGGACATGTTATTTAGCTATGTCAGTAAGGATAGGATGTATGTTTCCTGATATTGGAGGATTGCTGTCAGTTGACAGCTGAGAAAAATTTGAACATGTTTATTATGATGGACTATTATTTGTCAAATTTTATTAGTTAGGTTAGCTTTTGTTTGTGGCATGAGTTGAATTGTGGGTTTGGATACTAAACCTCGTGAATTTTAACAAATTAACAAGGTTTACTAAGTGCTTGTGCGGGGGGGTTGTAACAGACTAGGCTGTTGTAAGAATTATCCAGAGTGGTTTATCGACAAAAGAGAATGGGAAGCTGAGCCGCATGGTGACCTGACCCCCAGGGGAATTCGCGGTGGAAATAACCAACGCTTTGTTCATAGCTGCGTAAAATGAATCATCCTATAGTATTCAGTAATTTAGAGAAAATTAGCCTTTATTCATTTTGCATTAAAATTGTATTGTATAATAGTACTGGATACAATATCAAGAGTATTCTAATTATTGAGTTTAAGTCACCATCAGTGACGTCACGAATCAGATCTAACTTTTGAGGCGGAGTGACCGGCGGTCATAGGTCAGCAGGGGTTGACATGTCTAATATTTCTCAAAGTTTTAATAACCATTTTTGTGATCGGGAACAGCTTTGCCGTTAGATGTTTGTAATTTAATTCAAGTAAAATAATTCAACCAGTCTGGATCAATTCAGTATAAACAGAGTTTAATTGTTATAACTTAACCTTGCTAAAGTAACTGGGTAGAACTTTGACTAGGCGGAAGGATACAATACTCTTGTCTGGGGTAGTCCAGACAAGGAAGAAATCAGTGTGGTCACGGAAGCAGCTGGGATAAGAGGTCAACATCTTACCTCTCCCCTAGAACAGCCCCAACACCTAGAGCTGTGGTCGCCCAAGGTATAGTTGCTATTGTTAATTATAGAAATAGTCTCATTTGCCACTCAGGTCAAGTAGGGAGTGTTAAAGTGATAGGGAGTGAACATATTTAGATTTTGTTTTAGTTTTCTTTTAATAAATTAAATTTGTTATTAATTTGCATTTTATTGTTTCCATGTGTTTTATGTGTATACTTGTCCTGGTCACGTGGTCCACACGAGGCAGAGTTGCATTGGGCGCCGATTCTAACATCGAATCGGAATTATCATTACCGTGTAATTTATTCCACACTCAAGGTCATCGTTTATAGTGGGGATCAAGCCCCTAGGTTGATTAATTAGCGTGATCGATCCAGACCTCGATCATTGCTCTTGTATTACTGGTCTGGTGGTGGCAGCAGAGGTGACTCTAGGGTTTTGTTCAGAGCTTAGGTCACGTCATACTGGGTGTAGAATCCTAAGTCGGTCAATCGTCTTAGGACCACGTGGCGTGGAGTTGGCTTTGGTAAAAGTTTTGGAGTCCCTTGGTTTAGAAATAATAAGTAAGAATACGGGTAGAGGGAGTAGAAAGAAGGAAGTAAAGAGAGAGGAACCCGAACCCGTGTTACATCAACACCAAACACAATTTTTTTGTGTGATTTTCCAAACACCAAATGTTTTTAGTGTGTGTGTGTGTGTGGGTGCATGCGTGCGTGACCCATGAAGCAAGGTGAGGACGGGGCGGGTGACGGGGGCTCCTCACAACCAACATTTACTAAAGTCTCCGCTGTTGCATATCTTGAGGACGAAATACGACAAGACAACAACATTCCAGTGCGAGACTCCGCCACTCTGAAACACCAAAGACAGCGGTGCGCAGCAACATAAGCACCAACTGAGGGTTAAAGGCGGAAATATAAGCAAATCTTCCACAAAGTTGTTTCCAGAGTTGCTGGGATCGGATATTACCCAGACGTGACAAGCGTCCTCTGAGATCAAGAGTCCCTCGCAAGCGAGGCACTCAGCCTCACTGACACCCCCTCGAGGCACTCAGCCTCACTGACACCCCCTCGAGGCACTCGTGGTAACAGCTGTCAAGACATAAACACTGATGAAGCCCACAAGAAGCGGCTCCAGCCACGGCTTGCAAATTAACTTACAAATATATTATACAAGAAAGATATGCTGGTCATTGTAAATATATAGAAAGCGAGTCTCCGAGCCTTAACCAGGCGAGTGTCCGAGCCTTAACCAGGCGAGCCTCCGAGCCTTAACCAGGCGAGTGTCCGAGCCTTAACCAGGCGAGCCTCCGAGCCTTAACGCGAGTCTCCGAGCCTTAACCAGGCGAGTGTCCGAGCCTTAACCAGGCGAGTGTCCGAGCCTTAACCAGGCGAGCCTCCGAGCCTTAACAAGGCGAGTGTCCGAGCCTTTAACCAAACATTATTGAAGGAATATAAGGAAATACTTGTACCTTGTACGGGTGGTCAACAAGAACCAACGAGGCTGGTAAGCTAGCCCACCCACACCCCTAGCCTACACACACCCCTAGCCCACCCACACCCCTAGCCTACACACACCCCTAGCCCACCCACACCCTAGCCCACCCACACCCCTAGCCTACACACACCCTAGCCCACTCACACCCCAAGCCCACCTACACCCCAAGCCCACCTACACCGTAGCCCACCCACACCCCTAGCCCACCCACACCCCTAGCCTACACACACCCTAGCCCACTCACACCCCAAGCCCACCGACACCCCAAGCCAAACCACACCGTAGCCCACCCACACCCCTAGCCCACCCACACCCCTAGCCTACACACACCCTAGCCCACTCACACCCCAAGCCCACCGACACCCCAAGCCAAACCACACCGTAGCCCACCCACACCCCTAGCCCACCCACACCCCTAGCCTACACACACCCTAGCCCACTCACACACCAAGCCCACCTACACCCCAAGCCAAACCACACCGTAGCCCACCCACACCCCTAGCCCACCCACACACCCCAACACCACCCACACCCCAAGCCCACCCACACACCTAGCCCACCCTCACCCCTATCCAACCCACACCCCTATCCCACCCACACCTCTAGCCCACCCACACCTCTAGCCCACCCACACCCCTAGCCCACCCACACCCCTAGCCCACCTATACCTCTAGCCCACCCACACCCCAAGCCCACCCACACCCTTAGCCCACCCACACCCCTAGCCCGCCCACACCTCTAGCCCACCCACACCCCTAGCCCACCCACACCCCTAGCCCACCCACACCTCTAGTCCAATCAAACCCCAAGCCTACCCACACCCCTAACCCACCCACATCCCTAGCCTACCCACACCCCAAGCCCACCCACACCCCTAGCCCACCCACACCCCTAGCCCCCCCACACCCCAACACCACCCACACCCCAAGCCCACCCACACACCTAGCCCACCCTCACCCCCTATCCAACCCACACCTCTAGCCCACCCACACCTCTAGCCCACCTACACCTCTAGCCCACCCACACCCCAAGCCCACCCACACCCCTAGCCCACCCACACCCCTAGCCCGCCCACACCTCTAGCCCGCCCACACCTCTAGCCCACCCACACCCCTAGCCCACCCACACCCCAGGCCCACCCACACCCCTAGCCCACCCACACCCCAAGCCCACCCACACCCCTAGCCCACCCACACCCCAGGTCCACCCACACCCCAGGCCCACCCACACCCCTATCCCACCCACACCCTAGCCCACCCACACCCCTAGCCCACCCACACCCCTAGCCCACCCACACCCCTAGCCCACCCACACCCCTAGCTCACCCACACCCCAGGCCCACCCACACCCCTATCCCACTCAAACCTCTAGCCCACTCACACCTCTAGCCCACCCACACCTCTAGCCCACCCACACCTCTAGCCCACCCACACCCCTAGCTCACCCACACCCCTAGCCCACCTACACCTCTAGCCCACCCACACCCTAGCCCACCCACACCTCTAGCCCACCCACACCTCTAGCCCACCCACACCCCTAGCCCACCCACACCCCTAGCCCACCCACACACCTATCCCACCCTCACCCCAAGCCCACCCACACCCTTATCCCACCCACACCCCTATCCCACCCTCACCTCTAGCCCACCCACACCTCTAGCTCACCCACACCCCTAGCCCACCCATACCCCTAGCCCACCCACACCCCTACCCTACCCACACCCCTAGCCCACCCACACCCCTAGCCCACCCACACCCCTAGCCCACCCACACCTCTAGTCCACCCACACCCCTAGCCCACCCACACCCGAAGCCCACCCACACCCCTACTCTACCCACACCCCTACCCTACCCACACCCCAAGCCCACCCACACCCGAAGCCCACCCACACCCCTACCCTACCCACACCCCTAGCCCACCCACACCCTAGCCCCCCACACCTCTATCCCACCCCACACACCTAGCCCACCCACACCCCTACCCACACCCCAAGCCCACCCACACCCCTACCCTACCCACACCCCAAGCCCACCCACACCCTAGCCCACCCACACACCTCTGCAAATACCTACACCACTTTGTGTACATGCCCCCATCTCCCACCAACTTCTCTGGCTGTTTTTAGCCAGATGCCGGGAGAGATTTTTTCCACGGCCATTAAACCCAAACTCAAACTCGCTTATCATTTTCCAGTGGTCGAGGCGGAGAGGCGAGAGTCGGACTGGTCGTTGGCCAGAGTGGCTGGGAGAATCAGTCCAATACGAAATGTGTAATACGCATAGAGGAAGAACTAGCGAGGGATCACTGGAAATTACTGTGTGTGTGCCTCTGGCGGGCCGTTGATCTGTGTGTGTCCTGACGGCCGGAGAGGCTGAAAGGCAAGATGTTAAAGAACTTGACCGAGGAGAATAGTGGGAGACGTGAAAGATAGTTTGAGAAAGTGTGTTGTGGTTGGATAGCTGGGAGGATATCCGACCACATCGTGCTCCCTCTGGCTTTCCTGCCACATCGTGCTCCCTCTGGCTATCCTGCCACATCGTGCTCCCTCTGGCTATCCTGCCACATCGTGCTCCCTCTGGCTATCCTGCCACATCGTGCTCCCTCTGGCTATCCTGCCACATCGTGCTCCCTCTGGCTATCCTGCCACATCGTGCTCCCTCTGGCTATCCTGCCACATCGTGCTCCCTCTGGCTATCCTGCCACATCGTGCTCCCTCTGGCTATCCTGCCACATCGTGCTCCCTCTGGCTATCCTGCCACATCGTGCTCCCTCTGGCTATCCTGCCACATAGTGCTCCCTCTGGCTATCCTGCCACATCATGCTCCCTCTGGCTATCCTGCCACATCGTGCTCCCTCTGGCTATCCTGCCACAAAATAGAAACAGCACATAAATAGTTTTGTTCATTTTTATAAATTGGTGCTGCCTCATTTAGGCCAATAGACCTTAAGAGCATAAATAATTAGTAATTAATAAATTCTCATGTTCTTTTTTTCACCTAAAATATGGTCCTGATCTTTTAAAGTTTTGTGCTGTTTTTTCCCTGCCTCGTATTTTGTATTTCTTTTGTTTTCTTCTCATCGTTGTTTCTAAGAGAGCCTTTGATGACCCCATAACAGTGATCCTATTTACCCATCCTCGAGTCCCCTCTTTTCCTTCCTTCTCGCCCAGTTTAATATGGCGGACTGGAGGCTTTTCACCCTCCATGCTGCTCTTCTTCCCTGCCTGATGTCTCTCTCTCTCCCTCACTCCTTCCTTCTCCATCAGGACAACTTATTAAAGTCTCCGTGGTGTAGTGGTAAGACACTCGCCTGGCGTTCCGCGAGCGCTATGTCATGGGTTCGTATCCTGGCCGGGGAGGATTTACTGGGCGCAATTCCTTAACTGTAGCCTCTGTTTAACGCAACAGTAAAATGTGTACTTGGATGAAAAAACGATTCTTCGCAGCGGGGATCGTATTCCAGGGACCTGCCCGAAACGCTACGCGTACTAGTGGCTGTACAAGAATGTAACAACTCTTGTATATATCTAACAACTCTTGTATATATCTCATATCTCAATTAGACGCTGCTCTCCATTCTGTTCCTCACTATACCTCCCATGGCACGTGGAAGTGTGTTCCTTGGTGGAATTAGGCTGTTGCTATGCTTAGGCTGCACGCTGTAAGCAGCAGCTTGGAAAGGGAAAGGGTCTTGGAAACGTCTCATTTCGTTATGAAATTAGATTATTTCAGAGTAAAAATAGGTTTGATCATGTTCTACGTGTAGCACCAACATTATAGTAAGTAAATATACCATAATTCTTCATTACGTACGTAATGCTAGGACGATTTGTGTAGTTTTGGGCCGATTTGGGCTGATTTGGGTAATTCTATGGACCGCAACAACAGTGACGGAGCCTTAGCGAACATTACTTAGCTCCGGACACCTTATCGAATTATCTTTATCACCAGTGAACACACACTATAACTGGGGGAGTACCTGAACAATATATCTACAAGGAAAATTCCTAGAACATTTATATCTATATAAGTGTAGAGTGGAGCACACAGTGACTCTTGTCTCCACCTTCACCATCAACTATCATCCTTCTGCAATGCAGTTAAAGAAAAATCACGTAGCAACGCTACAAGAACAATCTACAGCAAAGCTGTGATATAAAATATCATGCCTAAACTCGCGACAAGAGAGTTATCCAGTCTGGCACACTGTCAGACATGCACCCGGCATGCAGAGAAGTATATTGAATGTTATTACAGTATTGTATTAATTACCCAATTGTATGCTTGTATGACTTTAATATGCTATAAGTCTGTTTGTTGGTTATAGAGCGAGGCAACGCCTCATATTTCATTAAGTTTATTAATATTGTAATGCAGCAGTTAAATCTTTAAGCACCAAACCTCATGAGCGTCCATTGTGTAAGAAAAGATTCAGTCACGATAAATAAACATAACCTCAGGAGTGCCCATGATGTGGGAAAAGATTCAATCAGGCTAACTGTACCTCATCATATAAATTGAATATAAATACATCTGCATATATACTTGAATATATAAATTAAGTTAACAATTGCTTGCTTAGTTATTTTTAAGTTATCATATAAGTTCATTTAATTGAATATAATTTCTAGTACTTCGTTAACAGTACTTAGACTACTTTAAGGTCATTTATCATACTTATACAATTTAAATTGTTGTGTTGTTAGTATAAGAATATATTGGCAGGTAAGAGTTATGGTGCTAGGCTAGACTATGTACATGTTTAAATCTCTGATTTAAACAGAGCCAGTTTTCAGTCATATAACTGAATTTATTAAACCTTATCCTTGTATAATATACAAGCTGATGTGAGATACCTGTCGGCAGGTGGACTGTGGATATTCAATCAACCTATCAACTAATTCACTCCACCTGCCCTTTACAGCCCACAATCTGTCATTAGGAAAAGAGGAGCTAGGATTTACGACCCTAGCTAGAGATTTTAGTTTAATTAATTTGCAGTCAGTAATTTTTAATTTAGTTCAATACAAGTCCCTGGTAGCCTTCCTCTCATATCAATCTCAGCAGGCTTTTCCCACATGCAGAGAGTCAGAATTCGGCTCAAAAATCACACTCAGGAGTCAAATTTCCGACATTTCAGATATTTTGAAAACTGCAGGGGGGTTTGGGCAAAATTTGACCCTTCCCCGTTTTCAGTAATTGGAATATTTTCGGTATAAAAAGTCGTAATTTGAAAATGAAAATAAGTGCAGAGAGTCAGAATTCGGCTCAAAAATCACGCTCAGGAGTCAAGTTTCCGACATTTCAGATATTTTGAAAATTGCAGGGGGGTTTGGGCGAAATATGACCCATCGCCATTTTCAGTAATTGGAATATTTTCGGTATAAAAAGACGTAATTTGAAAATGAAAATAGGTGCAGAGAGTCAGAATTCGGCTCAAAAATCACGCTCAGGGGTCAAATTTCCGACATTTCGGATATTTTGAAAACTGCAGGGGGGTTTGGGCAGAATATGACCAATTGTCGTTTTCAGCAATTGTTATATTTTCGGTATAAAATGTCGTAATTTGAAAATGAAAATAGGTGCAGAGAGTCAGAATTCGGCTCAAAAAACACGTTCAAGAGTCAAATTTTCGACATTTCGGATATTTTAAAAACTGCAGGGGGGTTTGGGCAAAATATGACCCATCGCCGTTTTCAATAATTGGCATATTTTCGGTATAAAATGGCGAAATTTGAAATTGAAAATAGGTGCAAAGAGTCAGAATTCGGCTCAAAAATCGCGCTCAAGACTCAAATTTCCGACATTTCAGAAATTTTGAAAACTGCAATGGGATTTGGGCAAAATATGACCATAAACCGTTTTCAGTATTTGGCATATTTTCGGTATAAAAATTCGTAATTTGAAAATGAAAAGAGGTGCAGAGAGTCATAATTCGGCTCAAAAATCACGCTCAGGAGTCAAATTTCCGACATTTCAGATATTTTGAAAACTGCAGTCGGGTTTGGGAAAAATATGACCCATCGCCGTTTTCAGTAATTTGAATATTTTTGGTATAAAATGTCTTAATTTGAAAATGAAAATAGGTGCAGAGAGTCAGAATTCGGCTCAAAAATCACGCTCAGGGGTCAAATTTCCGACATTTCTGATATTTGAAAAACTGCAGGGGGGTTTGGGCAAAATATGACCCAATGCCGTTTTCAGTAATTGGCATATTTTCGGTATAAAATGGCGAAATTTGAAATTGAAAATAGGTGCAAATAGTCAGAATTCGGCTCAGAAATCGCGCTCAGAAGTCAAGTTTCCGACATTTCAGATATTTTGAAAATTGCAGGTGGGTTTGGGCAAAATATGACCAATTGCCGTTTTCAGTAATTGGCATATTTTCGGTATAAAATGTCGTAATTTGAAAATGAAAATAGGTGCAGAGAGTCAGAATTCGGCTCAAAAATGACGTTCAAGAGTCAAATTTCCGATATTTCGGATATTTTAAAAACTGCAGGTGGGTTTGGTCAAAATATGACCCATCGCCGTTTTCAGTAATTGGCATATTTTCGGTATAAAATGTCTTAATTTGAAAATGAAAATAGGTGCAAAGAGTCAGAATTCGGCTCAAAAATCGCGCTCAAGAGTCAAATTTCCGACATTTCAGGTATTTGGAAAACTGCAGGGGGGTTTGGGCAAAATATGACCCATTGCCGTTTTCAGTAATTGGCATATTTTCGGTATAAAATGTCGTAATTTGAAAATGAAAATAGGTGCAGAGAGTCAGAATTCGGCTCAAAAATCACGCTCAGGGGTCAAATTTCCGACATTTCAGATATATTGAAAACTGCAGGGGGGTTTGGACAAAATTTGACCAATCGCCGTTTTCAGTAATTGGCATATTTCCGGTATAAAAAGTCGTAATTTGAAAATGAAAATAGGTGCAGAGAGTCAAAATTCGACTCAAAAATTACGCTCAGGAGTCAAGTTTCTGACATTTCAGATATGTTAAAAACTGTAGGGGGGTTTGGGCAAAATATGACCCATCGCTGTTTTCAGTAATACGAATATTTTCAGTAAAGAATATCTTAATTTGAAAATGAAAATATGTGGAAAGAGTCAGATTTCGGCTCAAAAATCACGCTCAGGAGTCAAATTTCCGACATATGAGATATTTTGGAAACTGCAGGGGGGTTTGGGCAAAATATGACCCATCGCCGTTTTCAGTAATTAGAATATTTTCGGTATAAAAAGTCGTAATTTGAAAATGAAAATAAGTGCAGAGAGTCAGAATTCGGCTCAAAAATCACGCTCAGGAGTCAAATTTCCGACATTTCAGATATTTTGAAAACTGCAGGGGGGTTTGGGCAAAATATGACCCATCGCCATTTTCAGTAATTGGAATATTTTCGGTATAAAAAGACGTAATTTGAAAATGAAAATAGGTGCAGAGAGTCAGAATTCGGCTCAAAAATCACGCTCAGGGGTCAAATTTCCGACATTTCGGATATTTTGAAAACTGCAGGGGGGTTTGGGCAGAATATGACCAATTGTCGTTTTCAGCAATTGTTATATTTTCGGTATAAAATGTCGTAATTTGAAAATGAAAATAGGTGCAGAGAGTCAGAATTCGGCTCAAAAAACACGTTCAAGAGTCAAATTTTCGACATTTCGGATATTTTAAAAACTGCAGGGGGGTTTGGGCAAAATATGACCCATCGCCGTTTTCAATAATTGGCATATTTTCGGTATAAAATGGCGAAATTTGAAATTGAAAATAGGTGCAAAGAGTCAGAATTCGACTCAAAAATCGCGCTCAAGACTCAAATTTCCGACATTTCAGAAATTTTGAAAACTGCAATGGGATTTGGGCAAAATATGACCATAAACCGTTTTCAGTATTTGGCATATTTTCGGTATAAAAATTCGTAATTTGAAAATGAAAAGAGGTGCAGAGAGTC